TTCCCGAATCCTCCGTCGACAAGGTGAATTGGCTAGGGGTCCTTGGTCCGTCCTGAACAAGGGCGGACGGTAATTTGCTGCTTTTTAGCATCCAGTGCGATCAGTCAAGCCCAGCCGGCTGAGCAGAAGTAGGATCTATCGCGAAAGAAAAGTACGCGTAGTTCAGAGTTGTTCACTCCCCTTGCATTGGTGTTTCGCAACTCCTGCTCTCGATACCCCACTTTCGTGCGTCTGAGGACAAAACCGGGTCTAACCTGTCTATTCCAAAACCAGATACTGCTTGATAGGTCTCGCAAGTGCATAGCCGCTGATCCATGACTGAGTGGATGTGAGATTTCTTCGTTTACGCATTGTGCTTATCGGCGCCTCTACGCTTTTGGATCTGTCATCATTTTGGGTGTGACGTTCCCTTTTCGGATAATCTTTGGATAAGTGACGCAAGGAAAGGGAAGTACATAAAGCTATAGTGAAGAAAAGCAAATGGAGATGTCGAGCACATTTCAGGATGATCTCTCGGTCGGCGACGTCTTCAGCCCTCAGGCTGACATGTCGCAACCCCGCGATGAGGTCAGCTTGAACAGCAACCAAACCGTCAGCTTTCGAATGAGCGATGCAAGCCCTAGCCGCAAGCCAGGGCTTTCCGAGAAGGATGCCCGGAGAGGTAATCCTTTCCCAGCACCAAAACTAAATGCGAATCCGCTCTCCGGAAAGGTAGACCGACGAAAAAAGAAAAAGCAACAAACCGCCGCCGCGATCTCGACCGTTCGTGGTTTCACCCCCATGGGTTCTGGTGATGAGGACTCGGACTTTTCGAACCCTAGTTCACGCGCACCGCGCTCTTCAGCACGGCCGGGTAATAGCCCAATGTCACAGTCAGCTTCAGGCCATGGGGTTAGCGCTCTAAAGCTTCAACTCGATTCGCTGAATCTGTCGGGAGACCGCTCTCTTCAAGGCGCGCCAAGTGACCTTGGTTCCGAGGCACCAAGCAACGCCAGTGTTTGCTCGGACAGTGACCAAACAGAGGTTCTGACCAGCTATGAGGTGCCTCTGGAACACGACTATGTCAGCGCTGATGCCGTAGCGGAGGAGAAGTCTCACAATACATCAAGCGTTAAAGATATGCGCACGCAGCTTTGCCGGAAGATGACCACAGATGACTTCGAGCCCCTGCTCTGTCTGGGCAAAGGCTCTTTTGGGACCGTCTTATTAGTGCGTCATGTGCTCACGGGCAAGCTCTATGCCCAGAAGCAGTTCCGGAAGGCCTCAATCACCGTCCATAAAAAGCTCGTGGAGCAGACCAAGACAGAACGTATGATTCTAGAGAGCGTCAACCGCCATCCGTTTGTCGTCAAGCTTTTCTACGCCTTTCAGGATCATGAGAAGCTCTACCTCATCCTGGAATACGCCCAAGGTGGCGAGCTATTCACGCACTTAGCCATGGAGCGTATGTTTGATGAAGATGTGGCGGCATTTTACATGGCGGAAATGGTCCTCGCGCTCGAACATCTGCACCAGAACGTCGGTGTGATTTACCGTGACTTGAAACCTGAAAATTGCCTTTTGGACCACGAAGGCCACCTTCTGCTGACGGATTTCGGTCTCAGCAAGATTTCTGCCAATGATGATGACCGCTGCAACTCTTCGCTGGGCACCATCGAATATATGGCCCCAGAGGTTATCCAGGGCAAGCCATACGGCAAAGCCTGTGACTGGTGGTCCCTCGGAGCATTGGCATACGATCTCCTCACAGGATCACCTCCATTCAAAGCCAATAATAACGCCAAGCTGCAAGAGAAAATCCTGAAGCAGAAGCTAACCCTGCCCTATTTCCTTGGCCCGGATGCCAAAGACCTATTGACCCGTCTCCTTCGCAAGGAGCCCTCCAAGCGTCTCGGATACCATATGCCCAAAGATCTCCAGACCATCAAGAACCACCGGTTCTTCCGCAAGATCGACTGGAAAGCTCTTGCGCGCCGTGCAGTCACTCCTCCGATCGTCCCTGTTGTCACGGATCCTGCACTCGCGGAGAACTTCTCCGACGATTTTACTCATCTCCCACTGAGCCCGATCGTTGCTTCTGCCAGCTTCGATGATCACTATGCCGCCCATAAGCGCGGCAGCCAGCGTCCCATGTCATCTGGCTACGACGTCATGGGAGAAGAGAGTAACCCCTTCGGAGGATTCAGTTTCGTCGCTTCCAGCAGCTTGCTTGACCACGGACTGGGCATCGCGACCAGAGGCTTTTGACTCGCTGTGCGCGTCCCTAGCCTGCGGGACGAAACACAGACTATGGTGACGGGTATCTTTCGTTTGTCCATTCATCTTCAGGTCACAGCACAGGTAGATTTAGCTTCAATGGCGAATATTGGCTTGCGTACACATATTCTTGCATCCTCTGCGTAGTCTTCCATGGATAACGTATACGTTTCGGATAGAATTACTCTAAGATTTGTTACAGACCAGCCACCCAGGGCTATAACGATGTGTTACTATACTAACACCTGCCAGCCAAAGCAGTGTCAACAGAAATAGCCAGTAATATTGACCTAGGTAGCAATACATTACAAACAGAATTTCCTAATTTTCTCTTCTGTCTTTTCTGTTTCTCTTCATTTCCCTGTAATCGCATTATATCATCGTGATATTCAAATCGATGATCCTGTATACTTCGTTTTGCCCCGTCCACACTACGTAGAATTATGTACTGTACAGTGTAGCCAACGAACCCGCCGGACTTTAAGAATAGACGATGAAATAGGATGTCCCAGTGATATAAGCAAGGTTATAGCAGAGATATAGCTGTTGTTAAAGTGTGGTAAAGATGCAGAGGATACCGTGAAGAACTTATAATGAGTATAGCTCGCCCTCTTCGCTTCCTCCGCCTTCTTCGTCCTGGTCAGGTGGCGGAGGAGGCGGCGGTGGCTGTTGGTTCTGGGGCTTATCGGAGGGAGGAGGAGGTGGGGGTGGAGGGCGTTGCTCGTCGGTGGATTTCCTGCTGGTGGAGGAGAGGTCTGAGCGACGTCTTCGGCTGGGGTCTTCGTGTTCGCGGTATCGGTCTGAGTTGCGTCGGTCTCGGGGCGGGGGCCCGCCTTGGGGAGTGGTCATGTTTTGGGATACGATCTCATCGATCCGTTGTTGGATTGGGTCGTCGACTGCGGCGTTTGGACGCCCGCTGCTGCCGCTTGGACGGGGGTCGCTGTCTCGACGGGGGAAGGTTCGCGGAGCGGGAGGTAGGGGATGTTGGTAGCGGTGGGGAGGGGGAGGGAGATGACCGTTTGTGTGATTGCGGTCGTGGGGGAATGAGCGTGTCCCCGTTGATTGGGAAGCTGTTGCTCCCTGGGAGGAGTTGAACGATGTGGAATTGGATGGGTTTTTTTTGGTAGAAGCATCTTGTGCCGCAGCGTCTGAGCCCATGCGTGGTCGTTTCGGGGATCGTTCACCATTCGTCGATCCCTGATCGTGCGGAACCGGTGGCTCTTCTGAGCGGCCTTGGGCTTCGTCTTCGGGCTCCCTCGACCGCTTCCGTCCATTCGCGGTGTCTGTTTCACGCAGGGTACCAGCCGGGCTGCCAGCGCGCGGGATCCTGGTCTTCTCAGTACCCTCGTCTGCGAAGATGGGGGTGGTCGGGTAGTACTGGCTATGTTTCTGCATGGCATTGTTCTCGTATAATTGTGCCATTCTTGTGCACGCGCGACGCACCTGTGTCAGATCCACGTCGACCTGCTCCCACCACGGCCGGCCAGAGGCGTCGTCCTCAAATCCCACCTCGCAATGTCGGGCGGCAGCGTAAAGGGCGGCGGCAGCAATGTTTCGAGCCGAGAATTGCAGGCAAAGAACGGTGAACATAGAGTCGTTGACGAAGGCCCAGGCAGCGTTGCGGAGGGGTTTGTTTTCGTTGACGCCGAAGTAACAGATGAAATCGTAGAGGATGCGGTAGGGCTGCTCGAGTTGGAGATCAAAGCAAAGGGCTTCCAGAAGGAGGTCCTCGTGGTGCAGAATCGTGTCTCGCCATTTCCAAAACTCCTTAGACTGCTCGTCCACGACTAGGTTGGGTTGTTTCTGCGCTACCCGACAACATGCAACCACCAGCTCTCTCATCCTCCGCACATTCTCCTCAACTTTGGTCGATAAGAATAACGCGGTGGCGGCAATCGGATAAGGGTGCATTCCCGGTCGTTGCGGCAGGTCCACCATGCTGTAGCGCATGAAAAACCGGTGAAGGTAGACGGCAGCAGTTGCAATGGTGAGCTGGGGCAATTTTAACATGATGCCCACTTGAGTGATGAAATTGACCCCTTTACTGCGGCTTGTATGTTCTGCCTCCAGTGCCATACCGTCAAGTTGCGACGGCGCACGCGTGAGCTCCTCATCTGTAAAAAGCCATTGGGCTTGTGTCGCAAGAAGGACGGGGTTCGATGGCGCGGGTACAGGTCGCTTCTCCGCCGGTTGTGATGTTGTGGACGCCATGAAGGATTGTGTTGTTATCCTTGCAGGAACAGGATATCTCTGTTTGGGGGGGGGGGGCGCGCTTGAGGTCGATGATATGGATAAGAGGAAGAAGTCAAGTTCGTATGACTACAAAATAGGCAGAATCAACCATTTAGTCGTCCAGTAAGGCCAAAAGGAAGGACAAGAAGCGCCGAAGCTCCGTCCTCTGCTGACAACAAGAAGCTAAAACTAAGGTATTAACAGATCAGATCAACCATGGCGCGAGAGACCTTTCATCGCATCATGGGGCCGAGCCCGGATTCACGGCCAATCGCACTGTTGTGTTGTCGGAGGGTGCTCTGCTCAGAGACCGGAGAAGAGTAAGAGATAAAGTAGCAAAAAAGGAGAAATGGATCAAAGAATGGAGACAAGGTGGTGGAATTTATTCGGTAGAGGATTGTCTCCCCTGCAGATCTGGCGGTGGTATTGTTGGAGTTCGAATGATCCGCAGCCGGACAAATGCGTGATCTGAGATCGGATCATCTTGTTGTTCCGGCCTGGACTCTCAAGAACAACTCATTTACATGCATCAATCCAACTCGAAATACACATAATGGTATTGGAACTATCCTAAATCCTCTATACAAGTTGGGATGCAATAGGTGGTATCACTGCTATCAATAATTGTAAAACTCCATTGAGTTTATTATTCCGCTCCAAACTCCAAACGAACGCCATGCTTATATATGATTTTGAAAGACGGAAAACACACACACACACACACACACACACACACACAATTATTCCAACAATTCAAAGATAAAGAAGGGAGAATTACTCTTCCTCGCTGACTTCACTCTCATCATCACTAGGAGCATTGTAATGGTGTGATGACTGATGACTCCTGGCCTCCTCTTCCCGAGCACTTTCTTCAAATGCAGCCTCCATTTCTGCCGCTAAAGCGTCATCGTCCTCAACTTCATCTTCATCAGCCTGTGAGTTGCGACTAGGCTCTACCCTTCCGGAACGAGCAGGTATCCCTCCGTGCCTAGCAGGGGAGGGCAACCGGAGATCCTCGATATCCTCATCTTCATCGTCATCATCATTTGCTGGTGTAATATTGGAAGAGAAGTGAGCAGGGTCAATCCGGAATGCAGGGCGAGAAGGTGGCGGTGAGCCCATATCAATGATAAGGTCTCCGTCAATGATGATATTAGACCCGGGTGAAGGAGCTGGTTGTTGGGATAACAAAGCGCTGCTTCCATTTTCGAAGGATGGGGATTTGGCTGCTTCGATTGTGTCATCTTCAGCAGGAGCCTTCTCTTTCACGTCCTCATCGCGAGGTATAGGCCTGGAGCTTGTCTTAGGGGTCCCTACGCTGTCATGCTTGGCCGACTTGACAGGCTTCGGGAGACGAAGAGGGTTGGACTGGGTTTTGGGGCGAGGCTTGGGGCTAGGCTTTGGACTCGGTGTGGGTTTGATAGTCGCAGGCATTAATGGGGTATTGGCTTTACTTGTGTTATAATGAGGTTCTGGTGTAGCATTGTCTGAGATCGACTTGTCGTCGTCGGCATTCTCCTTAGGAAGGAAATGCCGGAAGTCGTATGGATTACTGTCATCCGCTGGGCCATCATCGTTCCCACTGGCATGGTCTGAACCCCGATCGTCTCCTGAGCCTTGGTCGTCCTCCTGCAAAGTCCGAAGCTGTTCATACTTTTCTAGCACTTGCTTCTCCGTTTTCGCTGGAGCTGAGCGGAGGTTAAAGTTGAGCTGCGCCGCAACCGGTTCCAGCACAAAGGCCTTGCGATGGGAGTCGAACACCAATACCAGGTTTCGCTCTTCGGCTTCTGAAACAGCTTGGTCTGGGTCAACGCTGCCTTGGTAAGAATATGTTAAGGTGTTCTGTTCAGCATTCGGTGCTTTATCCGTAATGGTAAGGTTGTAGTGATCTCTCGACTGCGACGACCTGGTAATGGTTTGTTGTGCGGTCGCGGACTTTGTCTTATAATTATATTGGATATTGACCAGCTTTGATAGTGAAGTGCCATTTTTACCTGAGAGCCTGTCACCCAAAATAATGGGGTACTCGGCCTGTTTGGTAGGATCGATCAATCCGGTTGAGAGAGCGGGGGCGGCCATCGGTAGAAGGTTTAACCACGGTGGGTGAAGTGAAATCCCCAAGTTGCTGTTCAATGACTTGTTTATCCACACCGACTATAAGGAGACTTTCATTCCTTGGTGTGAGTATGGACAGGTCGTGCGTACGCAAGGGAGATGGACGTCACACAAGAGACGGCAATGAAGACGACGACGGAACGAGGGTAGCCGGCAGACCAGCACCGATCAGAGGGCTATAGGACAGACATTCAAAATGTACAGAAACAACGAAGAACATAATATATATAAAAAGAATGTCCCGGATCTGGGAGGGAATAAAAAAAAAGAAAAAGAAAAAAAGGGAAGATGAAAGAAACAAGGGAAGGGAGGGAGGGAGAGAAGAAAGAGAGAGGAAAGATGACGGACGGGGAAGCCGGCGGTCCAGACAACGACCGGCGGAGGTCAAACGGCACCCGCCGCTAGTGCCCCATACGGCTAGCGCGCCGAACCGGAGTCCTGATTTACTTCCTTTTAGCAAGTAAGAACGCTTACTAGGTATCAGACGCAGTCAGATGAACAGGGACAAACTTCCTCTCATGCAATTCCAAGCCCTTGGACAGGTGAGGCCGCCCGTAAGGTCCCCTTGGAAGACCCGGATGCTGCATTCCCTCCGGTGAGCTGCTCCAGGCGCCCTGCCAGGGCTCGGTGCTTTCTTGTCACCTCCTCCCACTCATAGGCCATATCGTCTTCGTCTTCGTCTCCCATATCACTCAGTTCTGTAAGAATCATTCCAAAATCTCCACCCAATCGTCCTAGACTGGCGGCGCAGTATAGAACTTGGGTGAGAAGACTTTCACGCGAGCTCTTGTCCCGCACATTCGGAAGATATGCCCGCAAGGTGTCTGTTAGTAATTGAACCAGATGCAGGGGAAACGTTGCAAGTGCTGGTGGAAGGTGCTGTAGTGGATCTTCTTGCTGAGCGGGTCGCGGTGCTGTTGATTTAATTCGCGCGTCAATTCCTCGCAGTCTTGTCACTGCTAGTTCCGACTCGGACTGGTTAGGGGTAAAGATGTTCTTGTACAAGGAAACAATAGCGAAACTCTGTTCACGGAAAATCTCAATATAGCGTTTTAAGAACTTCTCTGTTTGGTGTCCATCAGACCAGGAACCGGGCTTTTTTTCCGTACTTTGGTTTCTGCGGTGCGATTCTTGTTCCGCGAGCTCTCGCAAGGGTTCTAGCGCTTCGAGCGTTGCCACCAGATTCGCCAATCTACAAATCAAGAATAGGGCACCAAGGGCGCCTTCTCCTGTCCCAGATCCTCCGTCGCTACGGAGATTCTCCAATTCGGGAGCAACTCGCCGCAGCCAACTCACGGTCCTCATAGCAGCTGCTAGTCGGAGGTTTTGAGCCCGAAGACCGGTTATCAGATGCGTAGTCATATCCTTCATGGCGTCCTCGGCTTGAGCGGAGACATCTCTGACTAGAGGAGAATCCGGATATAGAGTTTGTAATCTCTTGATATGCGCATACACGTCTAATGCCGCTGAATATGTCGTGGAAGATGAACCACCTGCAGCCCCGGAACCTGCGGCCGCTGAAGATACGGCAGTTGAGAGCAACGTTGGCAATTCCAGAATGTCCGACAATCGGTCAACGTTCCTTGCCAGTTGCATTACTTTCTTCCGCTTCTCCAGCGCGGCATTCTCAGCAGCTCGACTGTATTTCGACGAGAATAGGACTGCCACTTCATCAAGCTTTGGAATCGCATCCCGTAATTGCTGTGCGTCTCGAGACAACTGGGGGATTGAGTTCCGTAGACCTGCGAGGTTGTCGGCGGAAGAGATGAAGGTTTTATGGGAGCGGTTTGATAAAGCTTGAAGCGATAGGATATTTGAATGAGATGACTGCGCGAGTGACTGTGGTTCCGTTTCTTGCAATGCCTGGAGTGAGAGGGTGGGCAGCCGGTTGAGGTATTGGGCAGTGGTTGTATCCTTTTCAGGGTTCAGTGGGGTGGGGGAGGTATTTGTGGAAGCCAAATGCGGCGCCAGAAGTTCATAAAGATAGTCCGCCATGATGTATCTTCCTTGCAGGTTTTCCAATCTAGAAAGATAAGCTGTGGGGCATATATGGCCGGCAGGTTTGTTGGAGAGAGGAACTGGACAGCTTTAGTTGTGGGACGCGATACTGTACGGGAGCCGCTGCGGCAACTAGCGCAGCATCTCCGAATGCTCAACTTCCCCATCCTATACCTCTTTTAGTTGTTGTCTTGTGGACTGGACAACGTCCGGGCATTGCATTCGCATTCATAATTTCTTTTTCTTTCCTCTTACTTCTCGACTTCTAACTTTGGCATCGATATGATGTTCTATCATCCGTATCTATGAAAAAATCTGTCAGACAAATTAAGGCATTCCGTCTATCTGCAGACGATCACTACTGCTGCGAATAAGAATCAATCACTAAGAATACTTCAATCGGAGGGGAAAAAAAAAAAAAAGGTCCCAATGTATATTAGACAAATCTGAAGGGATAGAGACAGTGCATTCCAATTTTATCGTTATCAAGATTACGTCTTATCTGGATTCTTGAGCCCCATGTCTGATTTCAATCTTGTTTCACCTCGGACGCCCCTCGGGGAAAGTCCGTTGGAAACAACTTAACTATTCAACAGCTTCCTGGAGCGTCCAAGTACATGGTGGTTATATCTTGCGATAGCAGAACATATACTTATATACTCATATGCTGCGGGCCAATATGGAAGCGGCTATTAGTATTCGAGGCTTTAAGATGATAGGGGACGATTAAATTACATCACTGGACCTACTAACCGGATAGGGCAACTATCAGGTACTGCCAGGTGCAGAGCACGGTTCCCGCCTTGCAAACTCACAACTACGTCCACGCTACTTTTCTTTGTTCTCTTGCTCTCTTGTTCTCTTGTTCTCTTGGGTACACCGCTTGTTATCGTAGCTCTTGCTGGTTGGACTATCCACTTGACACCTTACAGGCAGTATATGCAGAAAAGTCCCTTGGAAGCAGCCGTCTTACTGACCTTTTCAACCCCGCCTGTGCCCCTCCTGCGAATGCAGCATCAACCATGGGGAAACCGCGGGTGAGTCTTCCAAAACGATTATGCATGTGCTCTGTTTTACTCATATGGTCTAGATGATCATTTTGATCCGCCATGCCCAGTCAGAAGGCAACAAAAATCGCGAAATCCACCAGACTATTCCCGATCATCGGGTAAAGCTCACTCCTGAAGGGCATCGACAAGCCCATGAGGCCGGTTCCAAACTGCGCGCTCTCTTGCGACCCGATGACACGATCCATTTCTTCACATCACCGTATCGCAGAACCAGAGAAACCACGGAAGGAATCCTTCAGTCGCTAACATCTGATTCTCCATCTCCGTCGCCCTTTCCCAGGCACACCATCAAGGTATATGAAGAACCTCGGCTGCGAGAGCAAGACTTCGGTAACTTCCAGCCATGCTCTGCTGAAATGGAGCGTATGTGGCTGGAGAGAGCGGACTATGGACACTTCTTCTACCGGATCCCGAACGGCGAGTCGGCTGCTGATGCCTACGACCGGATAAGCGGTTTCAACGAGTCGCTGTGGCGACTCTTTGGGGAGAACGATTTCGCCAGTGTTTGTGTCTTGGTCACCCATGGTCTGATGACCAGAGTCTTTCTCATGAAATGGTACCACTGGAGTGTCGAATACTTTGAAGACCTTCGCAATATCAACCACTGCGAATTCGTAATCATGAAACTCAATGAGGATAATGGGAAGTATGTGCTGCAGAACCAGCTACGCACATGGTCAGAGTTGAGAAAAGAGAAGGAACTGGATAGACAGCGAGATCGGGTCGTGAATACAATCACTCCAGCGGTGCCAACACCATCTGAGTCACTCGTGCCCATCCGGCGTAAATGGGGCGGTTGTCCGGACGGGTGTAACCATGGCATTCGCAGGAAAGGTTCTACACGGTCTAACCGAGCGAATGGAACGGATCTTGCCCGGAATACTCTTGATACTCAGCACAGAAGGGCCCACGACTCCATTCATACTCATAACCAGTCACCACAAGAAAGCAGCAACGGCCAAGGATTCTCAGCAGAACTGAAACTGCAGGTTGGGGAACAGGTTTTAACAGCACCCGAACCAGCGCTTGGAGACAGTTCCAAAGAAACAAGGCCATTCACCAGTACTATTCCTGCTCCCGCTCCACAATACAATTCCCTCGATCGTAAAGAAACACCCAATCTCCAGTCCACTCGATCCGACTTTCCGCCAAATGAACCCAACAGCAACAATAAAGAGAGCAACTTCAACAACGCAACCACCAGGGCAAGCCCCATCCCCAAACGTCCAGACCTATCCAGGTTTCACCGCGACAGCGAGGACCACCTCCTGCATCCCCCGCGATCAAACTACGCCCTCCTCCACCTCAGTGGCCGCGACGGAGGCGGCACATTAAGCGGAGCCAACAGTGTCACACCATCGGAAGACGAGCGCGAGGACAAACCCCCTAAACCCACCACTCACCAACCAAAGCCCTCCCACGACCTAGGCAACGACGGCGATGACGAGGGCAGCGGCACACAGGCACAGCGTCTCCGGCGCTCACGCTCTCACCACACCCACCACCGCCACAACCACCTATCCACCCCAGGAAGACGACATGTATCCAAGAAACCACCCAACGACTACCCAGACAAAGACCGAAACCTAGACAGCGACCACCCAGACTCCTCAATCGACCACGAAGAAGACCCAGACCCAGACTACCACGAACACAACGACAACGACGACGACGACCTCGAGGTGCAAAGACGAGAAGACCAAAGTATCAGAGGAAGCGTCTACTAACCGATGCCCACCACATATTTCCATTACTCCATTTTGCCCTTCTCTTGGAACCAAAACGTAATACTTAGTTTACCCTACCTCATTTGCATCACGACATGAATACTGACGATGAAAACTTATCTTATCTACTTCATTGTAACGAGCAGCGACCTGTACACGTCTTTTTCCGTTCGTTTCAAAAAGACATCGATACCCGACGTTTTTTTTTTTTCCCTCATACATTTTCTACCTCTCTACCTCTTTTTATGATACATAGATACTACTACTACACTACATACATAGTTTCGATCGCTTCGTACATTAACTGAATTGAACTATTGCATTTGTTATTTCTTAGGTTTGAAATAAAGTATACTAAAATGATTGTCTGAGGTATGTTCATATGATTAGTTTATGGGACTTAGTCTGAAACATACCTTGCGTTGATTGATCTGCGGAACCTATCTACCATATTGAGTTCGAACTTCGAAGTCTAACAATTCATTACTCTGTCTACATCGTAATACACGATTCAGGATTTATAGGAACGGAAGAGAGACCGATTCTTTTGGGGGAAATTCGGATTTTCATCGATTTTCCACGATTTCATATGGTATATTTGAGAGAAGTTAAATCTAACTTACAATCAAAGAATGAGACTGACAATAGCACAGGTGGTTCAGCACCATGTGAAGAAGAGAGAAAAAAAATGCAACACAAGCACATGGGTGAGAAGGGGGAGTATCACTTTTTGATAAATTGTCTTACCAACGACGGACGGAATAAAATATAGAAAATTGTAAGACAGGCACGGATCAATGGACAAGTCGTAACAAATGGTAGATAACAAAGGTTGAGTGTTGAAAAAGAAGATAAACTACAACCGAGAGAAATGATCTTCGATCCCGGCGTCAGGGCAAGACGAATGAATTCTCGGGGTATGACGTCGTAGCATCGAGGAAGACTCCGATTAAAGTGAAGAGAAGAAAAGGATGTGACAGCATCTGCCAACCGAAAGAGAACAATGCAACAAGCCGGCAAGGGAATCGAATGAAACGAGGTATTAACGCCATAATACTCAAGGCAAGAAGCTGAGTAAGGAAAAAAAAAAAAAAGTAATAAAAGGTAAAACCAAGGTCCAAAGTCAACCAACGTCAAGAAAACGCAATCTATGAGTGACATCCGCCAGTAGATATGCCCAACCAAAACCAAAAATAGAAGAAAGAAAAGGAAGAGGAATGAAGAAAGGGGAAATTGAAAAGAAAAAAGGCTGACGATAAAAAAAAAAAAGGGGAAACATCATGAATGTCGTGACTTTTCACTTCAAAACTTGAAGTCCAACGATCTTTGCAAGTGATATTCGAACATGATGGGCAAGTGCCCATAAACAACGATATCGTATCAAATCGAGATGAAAGGGCCTATGCCTTGTCGTAAATACATGTTCGAGCTGTGTCGTATATGTGGCACTTGTTCGAATATCGCTTCGCGGCACTTTTTTTTCGAAATTTTTTTGTTTCAAATATTTCAGGGAAAAGGCGATCAAAGGACTTTTCAGACACAACAGGAGGAACCGAAACCGAATAAAAGAGTGTCATCACGAGACCGAAAATTGCGAGATGCGGTATCATCAACAAACAAAAGTGAACAAGTCTAACGGAAAAAACAAAGTGTGGTCGATCGAACTGAATGTGCATTGTACACCGCGGATTCCGAAACAGCCTGGCAAGCCATCCACTAGCCGGCAAGGATAGGTTGCATTCCGCCGAAGGCACCAGCGCACATATAGTGCTCAACGTGTTTAGCACAATGCAAACAACCGCAGGAGGAACCATGACCTGTCCATACGCTCTGTGCAAATGGCAACGCATATGACGGGGTATGGTGGTAGGAGGGTGGTTGCGACCGTGGCGCCTGTGGCATGTATTGTGGCTGGGGAGGTATCCAGGTTCGGGAATATGGCGGTGGCGGGTTCGTATAAGCCCACGGTCCAACAGCGTAGTAGTCTGGGGTGTTAGGGCCAGTGTGGGGGGCTGATGGGGGCGAATACTCAGACGCCGCCGGGTTGAGCCAGGAAGTCTCAAAGTGAGAGCTACGCTGGTACTGGGGAGGGATGGGACCTTCCGGGGACATGAGCGGCTTGGAAATTCTAGAACCCCTGGACACGTTAGTGTCGATCGGGGCCAGATTGTGACGCGAATCATGGGCCCGGGCGGTCTTCGCACGCCACGTGTCCCAGTGAGAGCGCCAGGATGCGAATCCGTCCTGATCGTCATAGATGCGGTCGTGGATCTTCCACTCAAAAGCAAATAACCATTCGAGCTCCATCGTATTCAGCTCGCTCACAGGGATGTTGCTGACCTCCGCCCACGATTTGTTCTGGAAGGTGTTATCGTCCAAAAATTTGCTTCCCAGAAGGAGGGCAACGGTGAGCATCCGGTAAACTTGACCATTGCCAGACAAAAACACCTTGGAAGAAGACAGCATGCGCATCCTGCTGGCTAAATAGTAGAGGCCCAGAAGGATCGTCGAGCTTGGCAAGCGAGTCGACGACAGAATCTGAAAGACGTACTTCCGGAATTGCGGCGGGACTGACGTTCCTGGGTAGACGCTTCGCGCGAAGTCAATATCTGCTAGGTGGATTTTGGTGTTGTACAAAGCATACATTCCCTGGGCCATCTCAGCCACGAAGTCGGACATCTGGTCCATCTCATAATCCAAGCGGGCGGCAACACCTCCGGTAGCCTTCTCCTCCTTGCGCTGTTGCTGTTCGGGTTGCACCATGACGTCTTGTCGGCGGTACTGAGGCGGGATCGCGCTGTCCATAGGGGGTAACTGGACGTTGTTTCGGAGGGGAGGCAACACATTCGCGGTAGGCATCGGACCGAAAATGGGCTGGTTCATCATGGCCATATCTCTGCCACTGCGCATCGACGACGGGTGCATGTTCATCGGGGCGGGCTTGGAGTAGCAGCTCGATTGGGAGTACTGCTCAATAAATTCACAACCGCTCTGCGAGTAGCGAGGGGGAAAGGCGGAGTGGCCAACCACGTAAAATGGGTGCTCGGAGTCCATTCTGCCACCGCTCATGATGTGGGGAGGAGTAGGGGGCAGGCCTTGAAGACCTGGCACGAAAAAGGACGGCATAACGAAATAAATAGAAAAGAAAAGAAATCCAGTTCAGGACGGCGAAGGTAGACGGTTCTGGTGCTGTACAGAGTAAGAGTTTCCCGTCAGTATATTATACCACGATGGTAAGATCGATCTCCGCTAATCAGGGTACCACAGAAAATTGGAAAACAGATACGAACCGTCTACACGTCCGCCAGGCCCTGATCCTGGGCTCTTTAGTTTTGCGTCTTGAGTATCGCTTAGTTGAATAACATGGAGGAATTCTTCAACAGCACGTATTAAACCCGGGAACGCGGTTGTAAACGGATCAAAGTCGAAGAGCGAACGAAGCGCGCTTTATTTGACTGTTTGCTTTTCCTTGTTGGTCCTTTAGTGGGAGTCCGTGAATCCTTTCTTTTCGTTGCGTGGACGGCTGTGGCCAAAAAAAAAAAAAAAAAAACGATGCACTCCAAAGGCTGGGACAAATAGAGCCAATGGCACAATGTCACCAGTGAAGAATTGAGGCTAGCGACAAAGAGGACTCGTCGGCGGTAAAATTGGAGCCAAGGAAGGCGGCGGGAGAAGTTTCCTTTGCTTAATGTGAGAATGAATAAAGATTACTTTCTCACGCGTTCGAAGGAGACAGCCCCGGTCCACGAAGACAACGACACTTAGTGAAAAGCTCGTTGAGGATTAAAGAGGCAAGGCAAAGAGGAATATATGGAGGGAAAAAAAAAATCCCGATGATAGAAACTCAACAAGATTAAAGGGACAATGGCGGTTAAAGGTAGAGGAAAGAAATGGAGAAGGGAATGAGGCGAGGGGGAGATTGAGAGAAGGATGGGGGGGGGAGGGAGGAAAAAAGAAGTCAAGTGAAGGGCAGGAGACGGAGAGAAAAGAAGGCTAGTGGTAAATTCAGAGGTGTCAGAGAGTGTTAGTAACCATCCTCCGTTGAGGATTGTGGATTGAGGTTGATCTCCGGGTCATGGGTTAGTCAGACTCCTGAACAAGTAACGAAATTCTAAAGGAAGTTTGTTAGGGGTCCTTTCCATTCATTGAGTGACTAGATTCATCGTAGGAATCTTCCGAAGGCCTACTACACTAAGTAAGTCTAGTACCATCCGTCTCTGTCTGTACTAGGCCCATACATACACTGTCTCCAATCTACCGGCCGGACGAGTCGGATTTTAGAAAAATAACTAATTTTTCTTTTCTTTTCTTTTTTATTTTTAATAGTATTATTTTTTTTTTACCCTACAGTAAGTTTGGTCTATCTATCCGCCGGTCAGGAGGACCCGGAAATAATAGAAAAGGGTGAAGAGAAGATAAATAGTAATAATAAAAAAAAAAAAAAAAGGTGTTAAGAAATTAAAAGAGATGAATAAGGTCGAAGAATAATAATAATAACCATCATAATTAAAAAGCAGTTAGAAATTAATTCTTAATCGTCACAGTGAAATTACCACCACCCAACCAAACCACCCGGAATCATGAAATGGCGGGAAAAGAAAGCACCAGAACAAGAGGGTAGAGGCAAAGGGGGGTTTGGCCTAGCCGCAAGACCCGACCGGGAATCCTCTTTTTAGAGTTTTCTTTTGTAAACCGAAATTTCTTACGGAGTACTGTATGTATATTAATTCTCCCCCCATCATGGAATTTCTATCCTAAGTGAGAAGCATGGCCAAGGGTTTCAAGTTTAAGGGTAGTCAAAAAATAAAATAAAAATCAAAATAAAATCAAAATTCCGCTAACTGCAGTGTGATGGTATGGTGCTCCATCGCGAAAGGACGGTTACCAAGAGAGACCAGAACACTCACGAAGCAACTGGATCCATGGTTCGTTGCTGAATTCCTTAGCGGTCTAGCTGAAGCTCCTTAAAAAAAAAATTGAAAATGAAAAAAAAAAAAAAAAATAATAATAAATCCCAACCGTATGACTACGTAGTATCTGTTCGGAAAAGCTTTCTCTTTCTTTGACTCAGATCATCGAACTCGTGCATGCACGTAAC